TTACTGTACCATTAGCCTGTAGTCATAGCTTACTGTACCATTAGCCAGTAGCCATAGCTTACTGTACCATTAGCCTGTAGTCATAGCTTGCTGCACCATTAGACAGTAATCCTAGCTTACTGTACTATTAGCCAGTAATCCTAGCTTACTGTACTATTAGCCAGTAATCCTAGCTTACTGTACTATTAGCCAATAATATCAGCTGGCTGAACCATTTCTCTGCATCAAATCTGTAACTTCATATAGTCATAGCTTGCTGTACCATTATCCTGTAGTCATAGCTTACTGTACAATTAGCCTGTAGTCATAGCTTACTGAATCATTAGACTGTAGTCAAAGCTTGCTGTACCAATAGTCTGTAGTCATAGCTTGCTGTGCCATTAGCCTGTAGTCATAGCTTTCTGTATCATTAGACTGTAGTCAAAGCTTGCTGTACCATTAACCTGTAGTTAAAACTTACTGTACCATTAGACTGTAGTCATAGCTTGCTGTACCGTTATCCTGTATTCATAGCTTACTGTACCATTAGCCGGTAGCCATAGCTTACAGTACCATTAGCATGTAGTCATAGCTTACAGTACCATAAGCCTGTAGTCATAGCTTGCTGTGCCATTAGTCTGTAGTCATAGCTTGCTGTTCCATTAGCCTTTAATTATAGCTTGCTGTACCATTACCCTGCAGTCAAAGCTTGCTGTACCATTAACCTGTAGTTAAAACTTACTGTACCATTAGACTGTAGTCATAGCTTACAGTACCATTAGCCAGTAGTCATAGCTTACTGTACCATAAGTCTGTAGTCATAGCTTACTGTACCACTAGCCAGTAGCCATAGCTTACTGTACCATTAGCCGGTAGCCATAGCTTACAGTACCATTAGCATGTAGTCATAGCTTGCTGTTCCATTAGCCTTTAATTATAGCTTGCTGTACCATTAGACTGTAATCATAGCTTACAGTACCATTAGCCTGTAGTCATAGCTTAAAGTACCATTAGCCTGTAGTCATAGATTGCTGTACCATTAGCCTGTAGTCAAAGCTTGCTGTACCATTAGCATGTAGTCATAGCTTACAGTACCATAAGCCTGTAGTCATAGCTTGCTGTACAATTAGCCTGTAGTCATAGCTTACTGCACCATTAGCCTGTAGTCATAGCTTCAGTACCATTAGCCTGTAGTCATAGCTTAATGAACCATTAGCCTGTAGTCATAGCTTCAGTACCATTAGCCTGTAGTCATAGCTTCAGTACCATTAGCCTGTAGTCATAGCTTGCTGCACCATTAGCCAGCAATCCTAGCTTACTGTACTATTAGCCAATAATATCAGCTGGCTGAACCATTTCTCTGCATCAAATCTGTAACTTCATATAGTCATAGCTTGCTGTACCATTATCCTGTAGTAATAGCTTACTGTCCCATTAGCCTGTAGTCATAGCTTGCTGAACCATTAGCCTGTAGTCAAAGCTTGCTGTACCATTAACCTGTAGTTAAAACTTACTGTACCATTAGACTGTAGTCATAGCTTGCTGTACCGTTATCCTGTATTCATAGCTTACTGTACCATTAGCCAGTAGTCATAGCTAGCGTACTGTACCATTAGTCTGTAATCCTAGCTAGCGTACTGTACCATTAGCCTGTAGTCATAGCTTGCTGCACCATTAGCCAGTAATCCTAGCTTACTGTACTATTAGCCAGTAATCCTAGCTTACTGTACTATTAGCCAATAATATCAGCTGGCTGAACCATTTCTCTGCATCAAATCTGTAACTTCATATACTTGGCCAAGTGATTCACAATCCAGCATTTCTTGCTGATTATTGCAGTCCTAATTGACTGCGAAACTTTCCTTTATATAACATAATTATTGGTAAAATTGAGGTATAAAGCAGCAGTTGTCTGATTGCCAATGATTACACAATACTTGTTACATTTTCTCTTATTTTTATTGAATCACTAATGTATTACATTTTAACATGTTAAGGAAATTCTGTTTAGAATTTTCTAAAGCAAGGGTAATTTAGATGATCAAATACCAGAATTTTACTTTCACTACACAACTCTCCTTGAGTAAAAACACCAAATACTGAAATACCATAAATCCTCAACTATCTTATATCATCAATTTGTCGAGTTACCTCCCCTAGTTTAAATATATAGAGATCTTGATAATTATTTACGGAGAAGGGATGTACCTCACATGAGGTGAGGGCGAGTAAGATTTTTCAAAGGACAAAGAGGATAAGTAAATATTTAAATGCTATGAGGATTTATGGTAGGATAAATGTGTTGATCTGCACATATCCACTATATCAGCTTCACACTGTACTTGCTACACTCCGACTACTGATTATATCTTACTGGGGTAAACTACCCAAACAAATGTACTAAAACGTGAAGGATGGGGAGATCATGTGATGAACACTCCATCTACTAATTTATTATTACATCCTATTTGGGCAGAATCAAATCTCACAATATATAAAGGGTTAGGGGGTGTGTGGGGTGTGGGGTCGGGGGTGGGGTTGGTGATCATGTGATGCAAGATTTACTAAAAAATAACAAATGATAAATACAAATTTGAAAGATTTCAAGGATATTTCTATCACTGAAACAGTATTTTTCTATATTAGATTTGAAAATTTGAACATTCTTCACATAAAAATAAATTTAAAGGTTTTGACATAAAATCTCTATATACTACACGACTATGTCAGTAAGGTCTCATGTTAGATGGAATGGAGCAATACGGTAAAAATAGTAAAACTCAGAATAAAATCATGCAAATTGAAAACATACCGAAATGGCGCAAGGAGGGTAAGAAAAATGTTTGTCGAGATCACACACATCTTAACGTGGCAAGAACATATGATTCAACAATCCTCATTTCAATAAAGTATAGACTAACCCTCAGCAAATCAACACTAGCACTGCTAGATTGTAACACTACTGTGTCGGACAACAAGATACATGGATCCAACAATCAGATTCCGTGTTTTATTATCAGATTTAAAGCAAAATTGTGATATTGATGAGGATTAATTGGATTAGTTAGGACTATAATATACCTCAATCTACAAATATCCTTACCACATGTTTACAAAATTCTTATCACAAAAATAAAATACCCCTTTAATCTAGAAGGATTTACTGTGAAGATAATGGATAGAAAAAGAAGGAAAAAATAATTAATTTGTCGAAATATCATTTACATATGCAAAAATATTTTGAAGAAATTAACCTTAATGTATGAATGATAAAACAGAGAGAGAAATAATTAAACGGAACTGCAGACTTCTACATGTGTGTATATATATATATTGCTCAGGAAGTCTGTAATACAAATATTGAAAAAATCTAGACTATTGCGTCTCATCACTTTAAACATTTAACACAAAGTGACAACCAAGCTAAGCTTTTCACTGAACCTGTTACAGTTATTGACATCAGTCAGAAAACACACCTAAGTAGGTTACTCGATTCCCCTACTGTACAGCGATAAATACACGATAATCACAAAACACCAGTCTTCACTCCACAAACATGTCATGTACAATGTTCTTTTTAAAGAAAATATAGACAGTTAGGTATAGTTTCCCTTCATTTTTATACCATAAAATCTCTGAGAAAAGAAAGAGACCAAATACAATGGTAAGCGATCAGAGAAACAAAGATTATGTTATCATACTATAACAGAAAGAAATCGGTTTTGCCAATATAGAATTATAGCTATTTCTGTATGTATATAATGCTTTATGCTAATTTTCCTTACAGGCTATGCATAGCTTGAATTACACTGAAAATAACAAAGATACAATGCAACAAGTCCTTGGACAGAAAGTGTGACAACAGGATATAAAGTTTATAAACGGCAAACTTTTTAAAATATATATGATAGCAAAGAATGCAAATTAAATATTTCAGACCTGTTTACTTTTTAATTTGACTCACAATCAAGAAATTAGTATTATATGACTAATAAAAATGTAGAAATGTGTTTGATCATTTTGTTAAAAACTAAAAGGAACAACATCTCATAAATTACCAGAACACATACTGTTTATTATGTTACATGAATGTAGAATGAAAACACATTTGTACATTATTACATTTTTTATAAATTATTTGTATTAGAATTAAAAACATAAAATCACTGAAGTAACAAACATCACACAATATCATGTCAAAATGGAATCTGTACATTTTGATACATCATTCTGAAATACTATAGTACACGTACCTATTACATCACGTACAAAACAATGAAGACAAGTCTCCATATATTACGATACAGACAATTAAACATGTGCTGTGTGACTTAGCTCCAATATAATCCCGTTATATTTTGTGTTCGTTAAGTTGGTTGTTTTTCTACTGTTTATTTTTTGAAATCCTTTGTTTCCCCAACATTATCTTCCAAATGAAAATCAATGTCACAAAAATCACTGTTTTCCTTTCTATTTAACAACTTGTTTTTATGATACTTTCAAAATTTGGAAATCTAGCAGCTATACAACTGTTATCTCTTTTTATTTAAACCCTTACTAGTTATTTAAACCCTATTTAAACCCTTACTAGTTATTTAAACCCTTACTAGTTATTTTTACTAGTTATTTAAACACTTATTAGTTATTTAAACCCTTATAGTTATTTAAACCCTTTCTACTTATTTAAACCCTTACTAGTTATTTTTACTAGTTATTTAAACCCTTACTAGTTATTTAAACCCTTACTAGTTATATAAACCCTTACTAGTTATCAAAACCCTTACTAGTTATTGAAACCCTTACTAGTTATATAAACCCTTACTAGTTATTTAAACCCTTTCTACTTATTTAAACCCTTACTAGTTACCTAAACCCTTACTAGTTACCTAAACCCTTACTAGTTACCTAAACCCTTACTAGTTATCAAAACCCTTACTAGTTATTTAAACACTTATTAGTTATTTAAACCCTTTCTACTTATTTAAACCCTTACTAGTTATTTTTACTAGTTATTTAAACCCTTACTAGTTACCTAAACCCTTACTAGTTGAGTGTTGTGTAGCACTTTGTATGTTCTGGTAGGCTGTATAAAAGGACCAACCAGTACGTCATACTTTCATTCCATTTCCTTTAGATAAATATTTAGTTAGTGAATGCAAGTGCAATATATACTCTAATAATCAAATATTTGGTGGAAATAAAATATATATATTACAGATATCATATGTGAAAAGTCAGGTACATGTATAATACAGCTGTATATGTACTCAAGAAAAAACATACCATAATTATAACAAATTAACCCTGATTATTTAAGATTAAGAAAAACAAAACAAAGCATCATTTCTTTTAATCACATGCATACCTTATAAAAACTTTCACTCAATCACATTCTCCTTACTTTCATAATGAACACACAAGAGAAATGCATGTGACAGACTGACGGTAATATCAGTGTGGACAATAGACCCATGTGACAGACTGACGGTAATATCAGTGCGGACAATAGACCCATGTGACAGACTGACGGTAATATCAGTGTGGACAATAGACCCATGTGACAGACTGACGGTAATATCAGCGTAGACACGAGACACATACCTGATCTGTAACGGCCTGTTATCTTTAGTGTTAATCTAATTACTTGCATTCACATACACTTTACGCCAATACATCTCCACTAAACAAGTCCAATAGACTAGACAAACATATCTACTTTCTCCTTGCACTTTTCACACATTTTTGAGTTATTTTTGACGCTGGCTTATTGTTCAAATTTTTCTTTTTTTAAAAGTTAAACTCCAAAATTGCTTCCAAAAAGCAAATCAAGACCTGAAGTTATTGAAACACTCCATAGCATGGGTCTATAATGTCCTGTAGAAATCAGCCGATTTCTAGTCAGTATTTTGTTTCTGCTAGTAGATGTAACTCTCTTCTTCTAGGTTCTCACATTCCTCTGTCTCACTTCATCAGCCCGGGGATCCGGAGTGTTTGCTCTAAAATGCACAAAATATTTGCTGAATAATTCATCTCAGTGTATACTTATAATCTTGTGTCTAATTTTGTCTTGATCAGGGGGGAAAAAGCCACTATAGAGAAAACTAGAAAATGCCTGTAAGACATGAATGCCCCGCTTACCTATGCCCCCCCCCCCAATTTTATGGCAGGGGCATTACAAAGATCGTCTACTTCTAGTAAGCGACATTGACGATGGTTCAACAAAACTAAAACAAGAACTGATTGATGTATTTGATTACTGAATACAGATTTGTCGCAATAATATTGGAGACGAATGTGGTACAGTGAGGCAGTGTGTCAGACAGCTATGGGTAACCCACACCCCCACCCCCCCTAATTCATTGGGAGAGGGGCATAAAAACAAGCAAAGTTGATTTACTTACGGGTAGTCTGGAGAGTCAGCTTCGTCTTCCATCTGCTTTCCACGCCTCTTCTCATAGATGAAGATAATGATACAGAGGATGATGACCTCGGCAACAATTCCTAGGAATGGCCACAAGGCGGCAAGACGATCTTAAAACAAATAAAATATTCAAAACAATCAGCATGATGTTTCAACTTTAAATGACTAGTTTTTTTTCTTCTGCAATGATTATGAAGCACTAGCATATCTAATGCTAACTTTAAACTCATTTCAGCTTTGAACTAACTGTGATGCTATTGTCTAAGCAAATTAACACTGAACTAGCTATATAGAGTGGCAGTCGACCTTACCCTTGATCCTGACCACAGTTGATGCTGACGCTGACTGGAAACTTTCGTAGGTTGAGTTTGCCATACATTTGTAAGTGCCCTTATCCTCAAACTCCAGACTGTAGATGGTCAGCTTGCCATTGACCAATTTTCCCTCATCACTGATGACGACACGGTCACCTGCATTCAATAGGACCTCGTCACGAAGCCAGGATATGGTAGGGTAGGGGTATCCCGTCACTGGACACTTAAGGATAAGGTTGTCCCCTTGTACATAGTTCTTTGAGGAGTCAAAGCTCTTGGCATTCACAGTGGGTGGTCCTAGATAGCAATAAGTTTCAAACATTCATTACCAACACATTAGTTTGATTAATTTCCTTGTTGATATTTGTATGATTAAGTATACATTATACACTGTAGTAACTTGGCTTTTTCTTACTTGAGTTGTGTCAAATTATTTTTATGATTGGACAATTAAATCCAGAAAGAATAACTTGAATTTTCGAGATTTGTCAGTTTGGAAATATGTTATATCAAAGTTTTACTTTCTACACAAACAATGTAGGTATCAAACCTGTCGTAAGGTTTCGGACTAACTGGTCCATTTGTTTGTGTATAAAGTAAATCTTTGATATAACAACCTGTATTTCTCTTCCCTATAAACAGCAGTCTATGATATTTCTGCAATTGGTCATGCAATCATACAGGTCTATTTAACCCCTTATAGCCAATTATTCTACCAAATTTAGATGGCAGGCAGTCCTATATATATATTGGCTATGATTGTAACGTTGTCACCGACTCTCAAAGGAATCTGCTGTCCTATTAAACAGACATATAAATTATTTAGTTGAAGTAAAAAGTGATTTTGATAAATATAAACATTGAACTCCTTTCAGTTGGCATTCATAGTCAATATAAATACCAATTAGAAATGATCAATTCAACCATAAGTGTAACTGTACATGTGCTTCTTGGAATCTGACATTTTGAATTGAACTGAAATCAGTATAAAGCTAGATGTATATATAACATTGACAAAAAACATTAAACCTGTACTCACCCATGAGATCAATATTGTGGACGACCACCTGTTGGGAGGGGGTGAAGGTAAACACACACTGGTAGGAACCCAGATCTCCCCATTCTGAAAATACAATAACATTATGATCATTAATTTACATGTTAACAATTTTTAGATGAAATCAGTGAGGCCAAGCAGATTTCTGTACTGTCTATTGTAACAGGTGTCACTTGTAAAGTATAGTGTATACACATCAGTGAGGCCAAGCAGATTTATGTACTGTCTATTGTAACAGGTGTCACTTGTAAAGTATAGTGTATATACATCAGTGAGGCCAAGCAGATTTCTGTACTGTCTATTGTAACAGGTGTCACTTGTAAAGTATAGTGTATATACAATGTATATGTTGTCTGTACATATATGTATCATGTACAATTGTAAAGGTCCAGGTGTCACATGTATATACTATACACTGTGTACGTACACCTGTACATCATGTACTGTAATGTACCACGTATATACAAAGNATGTATATGTTGTCTGTACATATATGTATCATGTACAATTGTTAAGGTCCAGGTGTCACATGTATATACTATACACTGTGTACGTACACCTGTACATCATGTACTGTAATGTACCACGTATATACAAAGTGCAGGTATTGTAATGTACCACATATATACAAGGTGCAGGTATTGTAATGTACCACATATATACAAGGTGCAGGTATTGTAATGTACCACATATATACAAGGTGCAGGTATTGTAATGTACCACATATATACAAGGTGCAGGTATTGTAATGTACCACATATATACAAGGTGCATGATAAGGCTTTGTTGTTTGTTCTATCAGTGCTTTGTTAACTTAATTAAATTGGGAAAATAGAGAATTATTTGTATTGAAATTGGGAATCTGTTCCTCAGTTTTTAGTCAATTTGGGAACATAAGGCACTTTTTAGCTAGGGGAAACAGCCTGTATTCGGCAGTAAAACTGAGCAAAAAAACCCACTGTCTTTACTGAAATCTAACTATTTTCTGCTATTTTCTAGTTTCTGCAAATGAAAACAGTACATTTTTCAAATATTATTGGTGAATATGAATGGGAAATATATACAGAGCAAACTTTTATGTGAAATATATACACCGCAAAATTTAATTGACTAATACATGCTGTGTCACGTTATAGCTATAGTCTTGTAATGATTTAAAAAAAAACATGAATTAAGTCACCCCATCATTCTGTATGATCATTTTCCGATAAATCATTGACCAACCTACAACGGATATATTTCCACCTGTTTTTGGCTGTTTTGAACCCGTTGATATTTAATTTCCAAACTCAAATTGTTATCATTATCGGTTCAATTCGCATGGACGTCACCTTGTAAATTCCTGCCGGTTAATAGTATCACGCGACGTTCACTCTTTGTGGTACACAAACTTGCTAACTTCGCCACTTTACCCATGTCGTTTTGACACATTCCTACGGTCAAGACTGAAGAGTTCAGCATGATTTTACCCAAGAACGACATTGTAACCACACAGTGATAAATGCAATGCAATTCTTCGTTATGTTTCCCGATACGTGGTACAGTATTTATCAATTCACAATGTAACGTCCTGAAAAGTTGAGCCTACTTTACTCAAGTTTATTTATCCGATTCTATAATATTATATGACTTTAACTTGCAACTTTTCATAAATGTTAAATTGGCAATGCAATCAGGGATTATTTAACGAAATTTAGCAGTTTTATTGCTGTGAGCATATTTCAAAACATTTCCGAAAATCCTCGAAAATCTACGAGAAATGGTCGCGACCAAGGACTGGTTTTGAATTGTTCTTGAGTATCGTGTAAACCCCTTTCTTGACACTTCATTTTCCCCTTAAAAAGTGCACACTATACGCAAATTTTAACGGTAGTCGTTGGTCAGACATAAAATATCTAAATCAGTCAATAGCAATTTATAATAGGACAGTTTACCCCTTCGGGAACCTCAAAGGTGCCCGATTCATACTCCTAACATATTAAGGTTATATGTAATTCCTGTGGGAAATTTGGAAAGCCTTTAGGTTTTATGCTATTCCTGTTTAAAAAGGAAATAGATATCTGAGTTATCCAAGAGCTTGTAATTAGCGCCTGGTATATTCTGACAGAAGCAAGACACTAACAGCCCAACAAACAGAGGTCAAAATCTGGGACTGAAACCAAAATCAATAGTCCCCACTAGGGTTCCCCCAGGGGTGACTAAAAATGTTACTTTTAAGCATTTAATTGTCATTAACTGTGCTATACGTATATACCAGTATATTGCAATACTCTGTATAACTTCCTGCAATAATAAACACATGGTAAACTATTTCCATCTCTGGCTAAATATTGTTGACTTTACCAGGGGAAGGCATCAAATAACTGCAGAATGCAGTGTATACATGTACATTTATCAATTACTGACTTTGTTGAGGTGAATATGTGGTTATATAGACCAGAGAAAGTGATACTAATTGAGACAAAGTCTCGGAGAAGACCACTTACTCAGCTGCTGCTTATATATAAGTCCATAATTGTAATATTAGATGTTGGATTATGTTTTACTCACTAAACAAGACAAAACTTATGATATTGTCAGCAGGAGAGTATTACTTTTGGCAGGGATCATTGTGCCATTACAGTTGAACTTACGTCACTCATACAGTGAATTTTGACCTGCTGTTTCTAAATAAAGTAACATCGCGTCCATATCACAAATCACTAACCATGATCCAACCAATGAGGCTGTAGGGAAAAGGTGTCTTAACCCTTTCATCCCTATGTAACTTTAATCAACTCAACCAAGCATTGATCTGGATGAGTCCATTATGGTCTATAGTGGTGAAAGAGTTAATATATCAATTTATTACATACTTACTACTAATAAATACGAGTTTTTTTGTATATGCGATACGACACAATCGCTCTAATCCATATCAGCCCTCGCCGTATCACACCCAAAAACCTGAACAGCCCCCGCCGTATCACACCCCAAAACCAATATCAACCCGTATTACACCCCCCTTTTTGGATTTTTTTCCGTTTTTCAATATTTCAAAAGAAAAATAGATCATAAGGTAGTAACTTTTATAAGTAAGTATGAAATAAGACAATATATTTATTTATGATTAAAAAAAGGAAATTGTCTAAAATTACACAACAAAAATACTTCTCTTTCTGATTGATGCAAAGACTAATTTTATGATTTTTTTTCTGAGGAATAAGGACTTTAAGAAGGTGAAAAGTATGTAATAAACAGAATAAAACATGCCTTTTTCCATATCACACCCAGTATCAACCCTCAACAATATTGCAGTCTCGGGTTGATATTGGGTGTGATATGGAAAGAGGCATGTATTATTCTCTATATAGAACATGTATAAATGTATCGTAAATACAGTACATATAGCTGAGCAACCTTTGAAGAGGTGAAAGGCCTAAAACCGATGCAACTATTTTTGTTAAATTTTTTCCTGTTAATCCTATAAAAGTTTATCATTCTTTTATTTTCATGTATAAATCTGAAACTGAATGATGTCATACCAACATCAATCAAGTGGTATCCAATAACGAGGATATCCCACTAAGGTGACTTAACTATACATTGTAGTAGTGCTGTGGTTTCAGATCAATATATCCACTAGAACACATGTATGTTGCTGTTAAGGCCGAGGTATTGTGGTAAAACAGGGCACCAGTATATAGTGGGCGTGGAAATCAATGATCAAGCAGCAGCTAGTCTTGTATACCTTGTAGGTACACCACTGGATCATGCTTGATTGGAATACACACCACCACCTCCGTGTATATACTGAATCTGATATCCCAAATGGTATGGGTATGACAGTATATACTTAATCTGATATCCCAAATGGTATGGGTATGACAGTAGATACTGAATCTGATATCCCAAATGGTATGGGCATGACAGTATATACTGAATCTGATATCCCAAATGATATGGGTATTACAGGATATACTGAATCTGATATCCCAAATGGTATGGTTATGACAGTATATACTGAATCTGATATCCCAAATGGTTTGGGTATGACAGTATATACTGAATCTGATATCCCCAATGGTATGGGTATGACAGTATATACTTAATCTGATATCCCAAATGGTATGGGTATGACAGCATATACTGAATCTGATATCCCAAATGGTATGGGAATGACAGTATATACTGAATCTGATATCCCAAATGGTTTGGGTATGACAGTATATACTGAATCTGATATACCAAATGGTATGGGTATGACAGTATATACTGAACCCGATATCCCAAATGGTATGGGTATGACAGTATATGCTGAATCTGATATCCCAAATGGTATGGGTATGAGAGTATATACTGAATCTGATATCCCAAATGGTTTGGGTATGACAGTATATACTGAATCTGATATCCCTAATGGTATGGGTATGACAGTATATACTGAATCTGATTTCCCAAATGGTATGGGTATGACAGTATATACTTAATCTGATATCCCAAATGGTATGGGTATGACGGTATATACTGAATCTGATATCCCAAATGGTATGGATATGACAGTATATACTGAATCTGATATCCCAAATGATATGGGTATTACAGGATATACTGAATCTGATATCCCAAATGGTATGGGTATGACAGTAGATACTGAATCTGATATCCCAAATGGTATGGGTATGAGAGTATATACTGAATCTGATATCCCAAATGGTATGGTTATGACAGTATATACTGAATCTGATATCCCAAATGATATGGGTATTACAGGATATACTGAATCTGATATCCCAAATGGTATGGGTATGACAGTATATACTGAGCCACATTCTATGAAGAGATTCAGTAATTGTGTACTGTATTATACATGTATGTACTATATATGTACACATGTACCAAACATAATACTGATAAACTCTGAAAGGTATATATACTGATCATCTACCAGGTGTTTCCAACTCTCATCCCTGACAGACTCCATGCCCATCATGCTAGGCCAAGCATTTATAGTGCTGCGTACATTGCTAATGTACAAATCGTATGTTAAGTCTATGCTTTACTGTCTAGCATTATTAGTACTGCAT